TCCTTACAAAGCTATCTTGTTAAGCAATTCTTGTTTTGAATGTGATTTTTCAATTCCTTCTATTAGTTCACTCACTCTCTCTCTCTATATATATATGTGTGTGTGTTGTTCAAATTTTTAATCGTTAATAAAATACTTTTTATTTATCCACTGAGTTCAAATACATTTTTTTAAACTTCAAGTAGATAACACTTGGTGTTAATACAGTTTTTTCAAATAATAATTCATTAATTATTTAATTAAAATTATAGATAAATGGTAACAAATAAAAAATAGTCCAACACCATATGCAAAAAAGGAAAATCACTATCTGTGTTCCTGTAGCGCAATGAATACCGCGTTGGACTTCTCATCCAAAGGTCGTGGGTTTGTGAATCCCACCTGGGATTCCCTAATTTCTGTGAATGTGTTTTCTTTTTACTATACTATTTTATTGGAATGATTAAAGTTAATTAATGAATAAATAGTAACAAACAAAAATAATAATCCAACACCATGTATAGAAAGAAAAATGGAAAATTGCGAGGAAATCGCTTTCTGTTTTGCTACTTAATATTGTGATTCTGACATATGTATATACATAAATTTATTGCAATTATTTAATAAAAAGTAACTAAAATAAAGATTTTCTTTGTTGACCTATGTAGGAACTGACTTAAAAAAATTTTTTATAGTCCTTGTTATAAATAGGGGAACAAAGAGGATATATCGTTAGGGCATTATTTAAGTCATTAGTATTTACTATTATTGTTATTGGTCTTGCGTGTACCTTTTGAAACACCTCCGAATAACCTAAAAACATGCGTATCACATTTCAATAAACAATGAACCAGAAAGAAAGAAGACATGAAACAGAAATGACAAGAAACAGACATCCTACAAGTAGCGCATCATCTCCTTATTCGAGTAAGTCGTTCAGGGAATGACCGATTGAATTGATTAATAGAGTCAAAGAAATTGAAAAGACTAATTAATAAAGTAGTACGCGGATATGTGGAGAAAAAATATTACCCAGAACCTACCTATGCGGAAAATAGGTTCTGTAGAATGGAGATTAGGAGAAAGATAATTTGAATCTCTCTCTCTCTCCGCACTGTGCAGTCTCATCCAAGCTTTCTTGCAATTATTTAGTGAACATCCTCTCATCGCAATTAATGTTAAAAAGTTTTAAAATACCAAACAAAAACTACTTTAACAAAAATTACTTTGACTTTTTACCATTAATACTCAAATAGCTAAACTTCGATCCTTTGTGGATGTACTCAACATAAAAATTTTTTTTTTTAATCTAATTTTCCCTACATCTGTATACCAGAATATATCTAGGTTTGAAATTCTGAAAACAATTTTTCGATCCGCTATACTAATTACGAAGGTATCTTCAGTGTGCTAGATGTATTCTCTATTCATATTATATAAGAAATTTAAAAATGTCTATAGAATCCAAAAATATTTGTAGAAATGTCTGTAGCTTTAACTCCAACAATTGAAAATTATATTTTTAACGAACTTTGCAACTAGTTATGTGTTATTATATTTTTGTTACGGTGGACAAGCAGATCAATGAAAGCTAATTGATCATACTGTCCCTTTATGGGGCTCATAGCTGCGAATAACGACTGGTATACATCTAGCCCTTAGCCGCGATGAATTCGTGGGCCTCAATATGACACCGTCACACAAGTAGCATTAGTTACAACAACATGAAGGCTAATAATTTTTTGTATAAATAAAAAACAGAATGTAAATTTCACTTCAATATAAAAACTTTTATTTTTATGATTTCAGAAAGCATTGCGATATTTCGTACTTTCATTAAAATTTTTATTTCCATTGATATTATTTCGTATTAAGCTTAATTTTGGTCAGCCCAAAAACGGATGAAATTAGAAGAAATACATACAAGAAAAATTATTTTCGAACATACAGTGAAGATATCATTACAATACAGTGAAAATTCTTCCATAGCTTTGATATTATTTAATAAATGCTATAAAGTTTTAAAAAACTTCGATAATATTAAAAAGAACTTTTCTTTATGTTAAACTGAATGACTTCCCAGTTGCTTGAGACGGAATCGAAACAGTTCAATGGGGTTTTTGATTTACAATGAACTAGTGAACTAAAACTTACAGATTTGTGCCACGGAACGTAACTCCGACGTTGTCGCTCGACATCTGTTTGACACGCAACTGACTTTAATGCTATTTGCATTAAAGAAAGAAATTGCTGACAGCGCAACTTATTGCCGTGGAAGCGCAGAATTATTTTTCTTTGCGGTGTCAGTCTTTGTGAGAGAGACAAAACTCTCCCTCCCTCTTCATGTTAAACTGTCAGTAAAGTAAAGAGCGATCGCTCTGAAAGGGATTCGGTACAAATTAAATCATGTTAAAAGTAATCGTATCTGATTCAGATGGAATTGTGTGTTGTGTAGGTAGATTTGGATTGATTCATAAGTGTATAATTCAGTTAAAGTGTATAATTCAGTTATTTCGTATAATAAGTAGGTATTTCATGAAATAACTAGATAAATTAGTTAAAACATATAACAGATGAAAAATTTCATACTTTACATAGTTATTCTATGAAATTCCTAATAATTGACCGTTAAATTGAAAAAAAAAAATTTCAAAGTTATTTTGTAAATTAATTGATCATAAATAGCTAAAATTTCTCAAAAAAATATATTTTTTCCTCATTATGGATAAAAACTTGATAAATAATAAGGAAAAGCAGATGAGAAATAATTTATTATTGCTCATATTGCTAACATTAGTTATACAGAAAGGGGGGGGGGAATATGTTACAGAAATAGTTATATTAAATATATTATAAAAAAAACATGCTGGAAAAAAACTGTTGCTTCATAAAAACACCGAGTAAACTTTTTCAAACAAAATTGTAAGAGAATATTAATATAAACTTTATGAAGTAGTTTATTTTAATTTTCATTACTTATTAGACAAAGATTGATGAGATGACACTTTAAAATGGGGTTCAAAATTGTCTAAAAGCAAGCTAGAACTAGTTCAAAGAACTTTTGAATGCCGTATTTCATACTTTAACGATCAAGTAATCGTTATTCTATGGAATACCTGGTTAAATCGTAGAACTCAATAATTTTATATATTTTAAATGACTTATCTAGTTATTTCATGAAATACCTAGTTATTCTATGAAATAACGGATTTCACACTTTAACGGTATCATATACAATAGACTTGAATGCGGTTATATGGTTAATCGAAATCTACCTATGCGTAAAAAGACGTAGATATTAGAAAAAAAATAATTTTAAAATAATAATTTCAAAATTTAATACTGCCAGGGTTAAAATTTCAAAAAAAAATGAAAAAAAAAAGACTTTATTTTGGTTAAATGATATTAGGCTCAAAATAGAATTATTTTTCTACAATATAAATAACTAAAAACGATTATAATGCATAAATGGGTGCTGAATAGCGAAAAGTACAATATTACATTGCAACCTCTCATCACCTTAACTCTCTGCCAAAAGGCGAATTAATCCAATCCAAATTTTTTTTCTGTCTTTCTCTTCATCGTGCACCATAATTTCGTAAGTACATTTTTTTGTTTGTTGTTAAATTTAATACTGAACAAGCTGTTAAATGGACTTGATGTTTTTTTTATCTTAAGTATTTTGTAGGTATCCCCTCTCGTCGTAATAAATGTTAAAAAATACTAAAATACCTATTTTTCTTTAGTAAAATTTCTTTGGATTTTTACCATAAAGAAGCTCAACTACCTAAACTTAACTTCTCTTGTGGGCAGTACTTAACAAATTAATTTTTAACTTATTTTCCCCTTCATCTATATACCAGAGAACATCTTTTCCGAATAGGTTGATTTTGAAATTCAGGGGGGGGGGGATTTCGATTTACTCTAATGTATAATCTGACCGTAAATATGGAGACCTACTTAGAATGCTTACAATGAAAATGCGAAATCAAAGGGTGAAATACATTTCCAACTATAAGCTCAATTAAAATTATCCGATTTACATTTAATATAAATTGATATTAATTAAATAAATTCAATTTTAAAAGCATATTTAAGGGATTAAAATGTAAAATTCCTTCAAAAATGCACAAAAACTTATTTCGTGTTCATGTTGCTCACTAATCACTTTAAAGAGTAATGGAAACTTTTCCCCTCATTTTAAAATTAACGATTGTTGTGTATTTAATTATATCCTTATCCACCTTCTTTGCAAAGAATCTCAAAATGGAACGTGTGACGGATCTATACTGTCTTAAACTAACAGTCTCTATTTTTCTTAAAAGTGTTATTTATATCAACCAATCTCCACCGGGAGCCAAAGCGTGATTTATGCAAATGAGATATTTTATATAAGTTCGGGTTTCGCGAGTTAAAGAAGTAATGTGAAAGAGAAAGAGAGTAGTAAAGTGAAGAGTTAGATTTTTGAAGTAAAGTGAATTAAAGCATCGGTAAATCAACACGCGGTTGTTGACTGATTTAGTGAGTAGTGAAGCGACGAGCTAAGCTTAAGAGTTAAAGATTAAAATTGGAATATTGAGTACGGATCCTAACCATTAGCCGATCCAGCTCGGAATACATCCTTCATCGCGACAGACTTGCTAAAGTACAAGAATCAGATTAGTGACTTAGAAATTGTAAATACGTGTACGTGTGTTCAGTTCAGATTCCGTAGTTCCGCTAATAGTAACCCCTCTCATACTCCACTATGTTTTATTGTTCTTAAATTTGAATCGTGTGTGTTTAACTTGCCTTAATTAAGAGGTATCAATAAATATAGTGATTTGTAATGATGTCTCTTGAATTCGTTAATCCGCCTACACGTCCAGAAACAAGTAACGGTAGACGGGGAGATGATAATCTTAGGGGAGGTTATATGTCACGTCAAACGTATGCCGAACGCAATTACGTAAAAAGAAATAATTAGAAAAAAAATTGTCAAACCAATTAGCGTCATTGATGAAAAATAAATTATAATTTTAAAAAAAACTAAAAAAACACGCTTTTATAGTGAATTGAACTAAAAAGAAAAAAGATTAATTCTTAATATAAGAATTACTATAATTTATTTTTAATTTTTTTTGTTCAATCTACAATAAAAGCGTGTTTTTTTTTGTTTTTTTTTAACTATGATTTATTCATTGTTGAATTTATCCTTTAGTTTTACATTTGAAGCCGGAATTACGTGGCTACTGGAATTAGTCTCGCTCTTCAGTGGATATTAATTCATGGGTCTGAAGGGTATTTATTCTCTCCGCTTACAGGGCCTCGGATGCGAGTCCCGTATCGTTATATTTCAAAGATTCCGTCTCTATAGATACAGGTCAAACTAATAAAAGTGTGTTACGAAGAAATATTAAGTGTCAATCGT